CATACTACCCAAAGCAATCTACAGGTTCAATGCAATGCCCATCAAAATACCAATGATGTTCTTCACAGAAATAGAAAAAACAGTCCTAACATTCATAAGGAACAACGAAAGATCCTGAATAGCCAAAGAAATCCTGAGCAAAAAAATAAAGTCAGAGGTATAACACTCCCTGACTTCAAACTATACTACAAAGCTATAATAACCAAAACAGCATGGTACTGGCATTAAAAACAGACACATGGACCAATGGAACAGAATAGAGAACCCAGAAATCAATTCACATTCTTACAGCCAACTGATCTTTGACAGAAGCAACAAGAACATACGTTGGGGAAAAGACTGCCCCTTCAATAAATGGTGCTGGGAAAACTGGACATCCATATGCAGAAGAATGAAACTGAACCTGTACCTCTCACCACATACCAAAATCAACTCAAATATAAGATCTGAAACTATAAAACTCCTTAAAGAAAACATAGGGGAAACACTTCAGGATATAGGACTTGGCGAAGACTTTATAAATATGACCCCAAAAGCACAGGCAGGCAACAAAAGAAAAACAAACAGGGTTATATCAAACTAAAAAGCTTCTGCACAGCAAAAGAAACAATTAACAGAGTAAAAAACAACATATGGGGCCGGCCCGGTGGCGCACTGCTACAGTGCGCCGCTTGGGAGTGCGGTGGCGCTCCCGCCGAGGGTTCGGATCCCACATACAGACCGTTCCCGCTCACTGGCTGAGCGAGGTGCGGGCGCAACATCGAGGGTTGCGATCCTGTTGCCGGTCCCGGTCCGGTACGGGCGCGACACTGAGGTTTGCAATCCGATGCCGGACACGGAAAAAGACAAAAAGGAAAAAAAAAAAACAGCCTATGGAATGGGAGAAAATACTTGCAAACTATGCATCTGACAAAGGATTAATATCCAGAATATACAAAGAACTGAAACAACTCACAATGAGAAAACAAGTAACCCAACTTAAAAATTGGCAAAGGAGCTGAATATCTTTTCTCATATGAATATATACAAATGGCCAACAGACAGATGAAAAAATCCTCAATATCATTCAGTATCAGGGAAATGCAGATCAAAACTATACTGAGGGCCGGCCTGGTGGCGCACTTCTACGGTGCGCCGCTTGGGAGCGCGGCGGCGCTCCCGCCAAGGGTTTGGATCCCACATGCAGACCGGCCGCTCACTGGCTGAGCGAGGTGCGGACGCAACGCCGAGGGGTGCAATCCCATTGCCGGTCCCGGTCCGGTACGGGTGCGACACTGAGGGTTGTGATCTGTTGCTGGTCACGAAAAAAAGGGACAAAAAAAGGAAAAAAAAAAAAAACTATACTGAGATATCATCTCACCCCAGTTAGACTGACTGTTATCAAAAAGACAGGGAAAAACAAATGCTGGCAAGGATGTGGAGAAAGGGGATCCCTCCTACACTGTTGGAGGGACTGTAAATTAGTGGAGCCATTATGGAAAACAGTATGGAGGTTCCTCAAACAACTACAGATAGAACTGTCATATGACCCAGTGCTGGGAAAATAGAATAGTTTGGTCAGGGCCCTCACCTTGGGTCCAGCTGGGTGTGGTTCAGCATCCTTTGTAAGCAAATTGTGTGTGTGTGTAGTTAGTGAGGTTGTGTGCCAATGTATCTTTTTAGTTTTCTTGTGTTCTTTAGAGAGAGATAGAGAGGAGAGAGAGAAAGAGAGAGAGAGAGTTTTGGAGAAGCAGGCAGGCAGGCATCGGCCTCAGGCATCCACCCCACGCAGCCATGCTTTCCAACCTACAGTTTCCAGGGATGTTTTGGCCAGTTACCTAGCTCATAGACCTGTGTGAAGGGGTCTGGTGACCCAGCCTGGCGTGTGTAGGGTCTGGTGACCCAGCCTGGCTTGTGTAGGGTCTGGTGACCCAGCCTGGCATATAAAGGGTTTGTGACCCAGTCTGTGAATGGGCTTGAGGGGTCTGGGAGCTCCAGACCCAGCCCTACCATGACAATTGGCCCAGTCGGTGCAGGATTATGGGCAGGTAAAAGAGTTCGACAACTGGCATGGTCACCTAGCCAGAGACCCACAACTGGCATAGTTGTGGTCAAGTGGCTTTACAGTTGGCATCATGAACAGAATTAAGAGCAAGGCACCCAGCAACCCCATTGCTAGGTACATACTGCAAGGAATGGAAATCATCATGTCGAAGGAATACCAGCACTCCCATGTTTATTGCAGTTCTATTTACAAGAGTTGGAATCAGCCTAAATGTCCATTGACAGATGACTGGATAAGGAAAATGTGGTATATATAATCAATGGAATAGTACTCTGCCATAAAAAAGAATCAGATTCTGCCATTTGCAGAAACATGCATGAGCTTAGAGAAAATTATGTTAAGTGAAATAAGCCAGGCAGAGGAAGAGAAATACTGCATGTTCTCACTCATAAGTGGAAATGAAAGGAAAGGAAAGGAAAGGAAGAAAAAGAAAGAATCACAATGATACATTAAACTTTCAAAAAAAAAAGAGAGAACAGAACTGTGGGTATTAGAGTGGGAAAAGGGGAGTGGGGGGGGGCTGGCGAGAGAGTAGTTAAGGGTCACAAAGATTGATTATGTTTTGTAAACATGAGTACCCTAATTATCCTGATTTGATCACCACATATTGTATACATGTATTGATATTCAATTCTGTACCCCACAAATATATATAATTAATAAAAAATAATTTAAAAAATAAAGTGCTATTAAAACATGCTTAAGGATGTAAAGGAAAATGTACTTGTAATGAGTTAAAAGCTAGAAAATCTAGGCAGAATTAAAAACTATAAGTAGGACAAAATTCTTAAACTGAAAAAGTGAAATATTTAAACAAAAATCACTGCATAAGCTTAATGGCAGACTGGAGCTAATTGAAGAAAAAGTCAATGACCTTGAAGCTAGATCGCTAGAATGATCCAATCTAATGAACAGAAGAAGAAAGAATGAGGATAATGAGCAGAGCTCAGGAGCCTGGGGAACAATATAAAATGGTCTAACATACACGAAATTGGATTCCCAGAAAAGGAGAAGAGAGAGGATGGGGCAGAAAAAACATTTGAAAAAACAATGGTGGAAAATTTCTCAAATTTCCTGCAAGATTTCAATTAACAGATTCTAGAAGCTCAGCAATCCCAAGCAGAATGATGCAAAGCAAATAATATCTAGGCACATCATAGTCAAAACACTGAATCTCAAAGACAAAATCCCTAAAGCCACCAGAGAAAAACTACTCGTTACATATAGAAGATCAGTAACATGAAAGACTGAGATTGTCTCAGAAAATGGGGCCAGTTTGTGAAATTACTCCTTCTTAATGCTAACATGAAAAACAATCTCGACCCAGAATTCTATATCCAGTGGAAATATCCTTCAAGAATAAAAGCAAAATAAAGACATTTTTAGATAAAAGAAAACAGAATTTGTCACCAGAAGACATACAAGACATTCTAAGGGAATATTTTCAGGCCAAAGAGAAATGATACCAGATTGAAATTCAGATCTTCAGAAAGGAATGAAGAACACTGGAAATGATAGCTAAATATAAACATTCTTTCTTCTAATGTCCTTAAAACACATAGGTCTATTTAAAGCAAAAATAACAACATTGCACTCTGGGGTTTATATCGTATGCAAATGTAATACATAGGAAATTATAACATAAGGGAAGAGAGGATGGCAAGTGAACTTATATTGTCACAAGATGCTTAGATTTTACTGGAAGTGGTAAGATATTAACTCTAAGTTGACTATGAAAAGTTAAGGATGTAAAAGATATCCCTAAGTCAACCCCCAAAATGTGAGGAGGTATTGCTTAAAAATTGAAATATAAATTAAAATGGAATCATAAAAATATTAAATTTACTCAAAAGTAGGCAGGAAAGGAGAAACAGAGGAATAAAATAGAGTTTCCACAGAAAACAAATAGTAAAATGGTAGACACAAATTCACCCATAATAATGACGTTAGCTGTAAATGGACTAGAAGCTCTAATTAAAAGACAGGGATTTTCAGAGTGGATAAAAACGTAAAACTCACATATTTAATGTCTGCAAGATACATCCTTTAAATATAAAAGCACAGACGGGTTGAAAATAAATGGATTAAAAAATTTATATCATGCAACCAATATGCATAAGAAGGCTGGATATCAGATAAAGGAGATTTCATGATAAAAAGTATTACCAGAGATAAAGAGACATTTATCTAACTGAAAAAAGGGTCAATACATCCAGAAGGCAGAACAATCATAAATGTATATGTATCTAATAACAGAACCTCAAAATATATGAAGCAAAAATTGACAGATTTAAGGAAAGAAATAGACAAATTCATAATCATAGGTGGAGATTTTAACATTCCTTTTTCAGGATTTGACAGAACCAGACAAAAATATTGGTAAGGATGGGAAATCTGTACAACACTAACAATCACTTTGACTTTAGTGACAGTTTTAGAACACTACATCCAACAACTACAGAATACACATTTTTTTCAAGGGTAAATAGTTTGTTTACTAAAATAGACCAATACTGGGCCATAAAACCAGTCTTAATAAATTTAAAAGAATTGAAAGAAAAAATTCAGCCAATGCCATAGGGGTCCAAGCTCCAGCAATAACTGTAACATTGTCCATACCAACCAAGGTAAGGAGCTTCCATGAACCTGTTGCATGGGAGAAAAGGAAAGAAGTTGTTTCCCAAGCCAACTGCCTAACAAAATCTTCTACTAACAGAAGAGGAGCCAGTGTGACCCACCCTATTGCAATTATATGCTATGACCTCCAGCCCAAGAAAGGGCATAGTAGTCATAAAAACCTTTCCTTCCTCTTCACACAAAGTATATTAAAATAGAGTCTCCTAAAGGTAACCAAGCAATGATATTCAGGGAGTTTTTAAAGAAGGAAACTTGGTCCAGGAGGATATCATCTCCACTGCTGCATAGGCTGCTACTTTCAAACCAATCCACACCATACCTGAGTACCGTTCAAAATGCAGAATATGAAGCTGAAGACAGTCCTGAGGTCATCATTACTAATTAGCATAAAGTATGCCAGAATCCAAGTAAGTCCAAAAACTACTGCAATAGATAATGTGCCAATAATCTTCCTTAGGAATGAAACATTTTTCGTGCTAGGTGAGAGAAAGCAAGAAAGAAAATATGGTTTATTAAGTTTTTATTTATTAATACCATTATTACTCTCCTATTTAGAATACAAATTCAGCTGCCATTGTTCGTTTGACAATATTATGCCTCAGGTGGAAAAACAACAATGGTAGATCTTATGTCACTCTGGAGAAAATCTTATTTAGCAAGCTTTATTAAAAAATGCATCGATCTGTTTAAAAGCTCATGCAAAAATAATTCCTTAAACACTGCTGCAGGCAAATTTCACTAAGAATCAACTTTTTCGTTAGAATAGAATTTTAATTTTGTGAGTATTGCTACAGGATTGGGAAGTAAGGAATTCCTTTTTAGGGCAACTGGGACCTCACTATGCCTAGGGTTGACATGGGGGAAAAAGGTTATTTAGGTGTAGAGATCTTTCTTCTCGTGGGAAATCTATAACCCCGGAATCCAGATGGACCGTTTGACTTACTTTGACCAGTGGGACATTAGCAAATGTCACGAGTAGAGACTTGAAAACATTTGTTCCTTAGAGTTTGTCTTCTCTCACTGCTCTTTAGAACTCATGACTACTGTGTTAAGCCTGGGCTGGCCTAATAGACAATGAGAGACCATGTGGAGCAGAGATGAGCTTTCCCAACTGAGCAGCTGCCACCCAAGACCAACCAACAACTAACCACAGACATGAAAGGGAGCCATCCCAGATCATCCATCAGCATTTGAGCCAGACAAGACTGAATAACTACCCAGCTGACACTCAAACTGATGACAACTAATAAATGTTTGTCATTCTAAGCCACTAAGTTTTGGGGTGATTTGTTATGTAGCTAATTGTTAAACATTAAATTATGGCATGCTTTTCATTGCAACTAGGACAATTTAAGAATCATGGGCTATTAGTCAAAATTTAGAAATACAAATTCAGTTAGTGTTTATGGCCAAAATAATATTGTTCTGTATAGAGGATATATAACCAAATTTGCAAGTAGGCTAAGAATCCTTCATCAAAGCTTTTCTGCATTGCTACTAAAACATAGGTTTTTTGTTTGTTTGTTTTGTTTTTTTTCCTTTTTTTGTCTTTTTTCGTGACCAGCAACGGATCGCAACCCTCAGTGTCGCGCCCGTACTGGACCGGGACCGGCAACGGGATCGCAACCCTCGGTGTTGCGCCTGCACCTCGCTCAGCCAGTGAGCGGCCGGTCTGTATGTGGGATCCGAACCCTCGGCGGGAGCAACGCCGCACTCCCAAGCGGCGCACTGTAGCAGTGCGCCACTGGGCTGGCCCTAAAACATAGGTTTTTAAAAATTTTTTTTAATTTATTTTTTCATTGATGTGTAATAATTGTACATATTTATGGGATACAGTGTTATATTTCAANCCCAGCCAGTGAGTGGCCAGTCTGTATGTGGGATCCGAACCCTCGGCGGGAGCGCCACCGCACTCCCAAGTGGCGCACTGTAGCAGTGCACCACTGGGCTGGCCCTAAAACATAGGTTTTTAAAAAATTTTTTTAACTTATTTTTTCATTGATGTGTAATAATTGTACATATTTATGGGATACAGTGTTATATTTCAATACATGAATACAATATGTGATGATCAAATCCAGGTGATTAGCATATTCATTATCATAAAAATTTATCATTTATTTGTGATGTGAGCACTTGAGCTCCTCTCTTCTAGCCATTTGAAAATGTACAATAAGTTATTGTTAATTATGGATGCCTAGCACTAATGTAGACCACTAGAACTTACTTGTGTTTATCAGAGATAGTAGTTTCTCATTCATATAGGAGAGATGATATTTACCCTTGATCTGTAAAACATATATTTAAGACTATATTCCCTCTAATGATGGTGGCTTTCACTCATCTGTTCATACCAAGTGGATCCATTTGTGAGCTTACTATTGGCTCCCAGATGTGCTTATAGTAAGTCTACTTGGGATGAGCAGAGTCTTGCAGAACTAAACTAGCCTTATTAGCACTGTGTCCTAGCCAATTTGTGCTGTGGGAGATGGGGGTAGGGGACAGAGTGTATATGTTTAATAGTTTCTGTTCTTTGTCTTTCCAACTGGAAGCTCTTGTTTTATGCCAGAGATTACAACTAAAATGCTTATTTGGGGCCGGAAAGGATACAGAAAGGAAAGAAATAGTCTGGATGGGACCTGGTAAACCAGAGAGCACATAACCCATTTGCAGGGCATGTGGGCTCAGTGTTGCCAGATGTTTCAATTTTTTCAAGAGAAAATCCAACTTTTAAATGAAATCTCCAAATTTTTACATGTCTGCAACTAACTAAAGAAAATTTTAAAGCCATTGTGTAATTCAAGCAATACATGAAAAATACAGCCTACAGGTACTAGTTTGTAAAAAGAAAATGCATTTACCAGCATCTTCTCACAATCCTCTCATTTCCTTAGTTACTCAGATCTGGATTTCTTGAATATTTGGGGTTGGGGGAGAAAATTTTTTCTTGAAGTCTTTGGTTTTAGCTTTTAGTTGGGCACACACAGCACAAGAGTGCATAACCTAATGCAGTATACCCACATTGTGGTACTGATGTTAGAAGATGAGAAGATCCACTTTCTGAGTCAAAGTTTAAGGGAAAATCTCTCCTGACAGCCTCATAGTCTGCCACTGCCTCAGAGTTTGAAAACTCTTTTAGGAACTTCAGACCTATGACAGTGTATCACATGCTGGATGAATCTAGCCTGGCAGTTTCCCATTCACTGGGAATCTTACCTCCTCAGATTCTGGTTAGTCTTCCACAGCACTTTGATTGTGATGATAATAAATATAATAACATTATTGAGGAGGATAATGGACACAGGCATGATGAATGACCACAACAAAGGACTTTTTATAAAACCATTGTCTTCTGGATTTGCCAGCCAGCAGCTGTGGAGAAAAAAGAAATTATTTCAGCAGACCAAAAGAGGTATATGCATATTCGTTCTCTCTATATTAATATTACTGACAGTCACTCAACTGAAGGGCCTGCCAAAAGTCAGTATTATTTTGCATCTTACACATTTCAGATGACTTTCAAGAATTCAACCACTGCAAAAATGAAATGGGTCGGTTCTGCCATATTTCTCTGTGAGTCAGTACGGGCTAGTGGAAAGAAGACAGGTTTTTGAGTGGTTGGGGGAGAAAATTTTTTCTTGAAGTCTTTGGTTTTAGCTTTTAGTTGGGCACACACAGCACAAGAGTGCATAACCTAATGCAGTATACCCACATTGTGGTATGTTGGGGGAGAAAATTTTTTCTTGAAGTCTTTGGTTTTAGCCTTTAGTTGGGCACACACAGCACAAGAGTGCATAACCTAATGCAGTATACCCACATTGTGGTACTGATGTTAGAAGATGAGAAGATCCACTTTCTGAGTCAAAGTTTAAGGGAAAATCTCTCCTGACAGCCTCATAGTCTGCCACTGCCTCAGAGTTTGAAAACTCTTTTAGGAACTGCAGACCTATGACAGTGTATCACATGCTGGATGAATCTAGCCTGGCAGTTTCCCATTCACTGGGAATCTTACCTCCTCAGATTCTGGTTAGTCTTCCACAGCACTTTGATTGTGATGATAATAAATATAATAACATTATTGAGGAGGATAATGGACACAGGCATGATGAATGACCACAACAAAGGACTTTTTATAAAACCATTGTCTTCTGGATTTGCCAGCCAGCAGCTGTGGAGAAAAAAGAAATTATTTCAGCAGACCAAAAGAGGTATATGCATATTCGTTCTCTCTATATTAATATTACTGACAGTCACTCAACTGAAGGGCCTGCCAAAAGTCAGTATTATTTTGCATCTTACACATTTCAGATGACTTTCAAGAATTCAACCACTGCAAAAATGAAATGGGTCGGTTCTGCCATATTTCTCTGTGAGTCAGTACGGGCTAGTGGAAAGAAGACAGGTTTTTGAGTTAGGCAGTCCTGAATTTAAATGTCACTTCCTATAACTACTGAGCCATCTGACTTTAGGCAAGTTATTGTTTTTATTTTATTTTTGAATATGTAGTATATCCAGATGGTTCAAAATGTGAAAGGTACAAATTTTCATAGAGGGACAATATTCCTTCCTTCATCTGTCCCCAGCCACCCAGTTTCAACCTGTGTTTTCTTGTGTTTCCTTCCAGATTTAAGCTATGTATATGCTAGCAAATGCATATTTTTTTGATATTTAAGAAAAGTGAAACACATGATACATGCTTCTATAACTCACTTAACAACATAAAGTGGGGAGATCATTCTATATCAGAACATAAAAATTACCTTCATTATTTTTACAGCAGCATGTTATTCCATTATTTTCATATATCATAACTTATTTAAACAGTCTCCGGTTGATGAACATTTTAAATTGTTAGTCTTTTTAAAAAGTTTGGGAAAGTTATTTAATCTCATTGTACCTGTTTTTGTTTTTGTGTGTGTGTTTGATGGTGGCGGTTGTGGTGGTGGTGGTTGTGGTGGTGGGTTTTTTTGTTGTTTTTAGTTGTCGTCATTGTTTTCTCATCTGAGGTGAGAAAAATAGTAAACACCCCTTGGCATTGTTGAAAGAATTCATTCGTTCACTTAATAAAAATTTACAGAGTACATCCTATGTGCCAGACATTGTTCTAGACACCGAGTTATTAGCAGAGAATGAAACAAAAATCCCCTGTTTGTGAATTTATATTATGGTACAGAGAAATGGATAAAATAAATAAATAGAATATGTAATATGTCAGATGGTAACAAGTGCTGGGGAGAAAAAAATAAAACATGTAATTAGGGTAGAAATTACTGTGTATATGTACATGGGAGGGTCATTTTAAATAGAGCGGTCAGGGAAAGTCTGATGGAAAAAAGTGGTATTTGAGCAAAGACCTGAAGTAGATGAGGGGGAAGTATGTTCCAGACAGAGGTTATATCAAGTGCAAAGGCCACATCAAGTGCACAGGCCTTGAGGTGAGAGCTTTAAGAAACAACAAAGAATCTAGTGTAGCTGAACCAGAGCAAGTGGATGGGTTTTTAGAAAGATATAAATTACATGAAGCTTTGTAGGCAATTGCCTGTACTCTGGGCGACATGGAGAGACATGACATGATCCATCTTGAGTTTTAAAAGTCTTACTCCAGGTGCAGTGATGAGAGAAAGGCATGAGAAAAAGTAGGAAACCAGCTAGGAGTTTATTGAAATAATCCAGGTGGCTTGGACCAGGAGAGGAAATGTTAAGAAATAGTCAGATTCCAGATATATTTTAAAATAAAGCAAAAGACTTTATTGGTGGGTTGGATGTGAGATATAGGAGAATTAAGGGTGATTGCAAAATTCTTGGCCTGAGATGAATTTACCATGAAACGAGATGGGAAAGAAATAAGATGAGCGGGTTTGGGAGGGAAGATGAGGAAATGTCTATTAGACAGCCAAGTGATGGTGTCAGGTAGGCAGCTGGGTACTAGCAAAATAATGTGAGAAAGCTGACACATATTTGACATTCAATTAATGTTTGTTTTTCTTTCCCCTGAAGGTAAAACGCCATTATTATACATGCCTAGGATTTCTAAGTTGTTTTGCATTGGAAAGTTGTTATTTAAATAACTAGAAATGATATTTCTAATTTAAATGACCTAGGAGGAAACTGAGATAATGTTCAAGTCTCTGTAATGAATGACAAAATGAAAAGGCGTGCCTGCCTCTAACAGATAGTGCAGGTCCATCTCTAAATAAAATGGTGAGAGCGAATAAAGTGTATCTTCAGGACCTCTAGCCTCCCTTTCTTTCATCTGTGACTGGAGGACAACCCTCCTGCCACCTCCCACCTTCCACCTCCATACACAGAAGAAATAAGAGGGCCCTTAGTTAAGAATTTAATGAAATCCTGATGAGAACCACTTTCAAATCTCTGGAAGCCTCTTTGGTGACTAAGCAAGTGGCCAATGAAAACTACAGACCCATGTCTTATTGAGGCAGACTTGAGAAACAGTTTAAAAGGGGAGGACAGGATAGAGAAAGGAAATGAACAATCCAACTCTATTAGATGTAGGCGGGGCAAATTATGAAACAGTTAGACAAATATTTATATGAGTCTTGAGTTATTTAAACCCAAGAAAATACAATTTCTGAGAATTACAATTTGTACTGCAGACATATATGTATGCGTATACACGGATACAAATGTCTATGAGACTCCTCGGTTATCTCACACGAGTGGGGAGACCTGGAAGGAAAATAGGCTCAGGGACCCAAGCCCATTAGGAGGGGTATACTAGGAGGGGACCCTCAGCCCTCTATCCTTTGCACTACGTGAAGCAAGAGGCAGTCATGCTGGATTTGTTCTCACAACACCCCCTCCTTTTGTTATTCTGAATGGAATAAATCAGATTTTGAGAAACAGACTGCCGAGGAAAAGGATGGATCCTACAGTGAGACTAATTCTTGCAGTTATGGAGAGGGATGTCTAGAAATGAGATAGGAGAGTCACATAATGGAGGTTGGTCTGTCAAAGAGCTATGGGCCTGAGGTCTGGACAGCATCATAGGTGGACCTCAGATGAAGTGTTTAACTCCTTGGTGACTTTGCTATAGAATATGGAAAAAGACAGCTTTAGCGATACAGTATACACTTGAAAAATTTCCCCCCAATACATTATTATCTCCCACAGTTACTTCAACCATTCAGGAGAGTCAGAAATAGCCTAGATGATGATGGTACAGAGAATGGGAGATAGAGCATTAAAGAGGAGTGTGGCCTGCCCTGCATTCACTCCTTAACTGGGTCCATGCAGAGACAGTATGTCCAGGAACTGGGTCAGGGGTGTCAGGTATGGCCAGCAGAGCCGGGAACGGTGGGGGAGAGCACTGCTTTCATCTGGGTTGTTTTATTTGGGTTGCTTTGGGACTTAAGGTGGAATCTGGGGATAAGAATGGTGGATTTGTAAAATGAAAAGAGAGTATAAATTAAGGAACGGTTGCTATTTGGTAGCAGAAATACATGTAAAGAGTTGAGCCTCAGCTCAGCTCAGTTTTCTTCTCTACCTACCCACATAAAAAGCAAACATCATATAGTCAGGTACCTCCATTAGTAACAGTTAATTATTCACACTTGGGTCACAGGAAGAATTTGTTATGTGTGATAAATCATCATGAAATATTCATTATAATCATATCAACGTAGAATTGGTTTACACGAGTAAGACATATGGATAGTGCTCTTCAAGTTATTAAACGTTTTCACACTTGCCTGACCCCTCACAGAACCCAGAGCACGTATTATTATTATTATTGTTATTATCATTTTCTAGATGAGAAAATTAAGGTACAGGGTTACTAAGGATCATACCTACTGTGTCATATGATCTTTAAACTTAATGAAAGAAAAAAGTTAGTATAAGAAAGTTCAGATTTATAAATTTAGAAGGTGATTAGTTACTTTGAAAAGTATTTGTTAAAGGAAATTTCTAAGTCACCTCACTTAAAATATAATGTGTTGTTTGAGAATTTGAAACACCCACCACCAGATATAGCAATTATAAAGTGAGATGCATATGTACAGTGACACTTGGAGTCAACATCACTGAATAGTAACACTCTTATGTCAAAGAAATGGAAATTTTTTAAAATATAAACTTACATTTCCTCTTGCCGGTAGGCTAACTCCCATTGTGGATTATTCCTGTTCTGAGAATAAATAATTCCCACTGTTATCCCAGTTACTGCAGCTGGGAATCCTACGTGATAAAGAGAAGCACAGAATTAATAATTAAACTAAAGCTGGGATTAATTATAAAAGACCATGAATGAATTATACATCTGACCCTTTTCAGGATGCATTGTTCTTTCCACTAAGGACAATGTACTAAGTGATGCCATGATGGAGGTCAGCAGTGAACATAATTCTCCTTTCCTTTTTAGTGTTGGCTCTAGATACCAATCCTATACTATTTTGGATACCTTTGTAACTCTTACCACAATTTCAATCTTCAATGGCTTAGTTCCTCTTTCACTTGAATAAATTTAAATTTTGATATCACTAAAACAATTCTTCCTTTGCTAGAACCAATAAATTTCTCAAATGATTTTTCTTAAAGAGTCACTCTCGTTGTCTTTCTTGAAATATTTCTTTTCAAGTAACTAGGAAGTTCATTATTTGTAGTCTAAATCTCAAATCAAATTAATAAAAAGAGATGTTAAAGGAAATTAGCATCTTTAAGTTAGCTTACGACTTGTATCTAGTATATGTGCCTTTGACCGCACTTGCCGCCTTCACTGGAGCATTAGCTACTAGACAGAAAGTGTTCTTAGTGATCACTATATTCTTTATCTCCCCTGCCTCATACCTTGTACTATTAGGCCTTCAGTAGATGTCCATTTAAATTAAATGATTTCAAAAAATTAAATTCCTAAGTGGAGATGCGCACTTACCCCATCCAATTAATGAGATGAAAAGAATGAAACGTTGAGGAAGAGGCTTCATGGTCCTAATTAGAAGGAAATAGAGCTGCGCAGCATTAAGTCCACTCCAGGTAAATGTCGCTAACAGAAAATAGTGCAGTGAGATAGCAATCCCTGTGCATTTGCAGTTCGGGGTAGCAATAATGTCTGTTTGGGGCATTTCATTATTATCAAAGTCAATATCATTGTTGTCACTATCACTTGTCTTCAAGTTCTTATTAGAGTTTTCAATTCCAAATATAAAGAGGAGGTTGAAAATCAACATTGTTGTGCACAGACTGACCAACACCCAGGTCACCGAGGCTCTTCTGCCTTTCCTGAAAACACATGTCAATATAAATAACTATATGAAAACAAAACTGCAAAAAGGAAACTCCAGTGAAATTGTGAGAAAACAAAGGAAAATTATTACTCAGTGTAAATCTAGCTCATTGTCTAGTGAGCCAGCTGGTAAATATGCCTTCCCAGTTACATTAGAAAAGTAAAACCTCTTATCTCATTTCCACAGAGAAGTGAGTTGGAGAAAATAGGTTGATGGATTCTTTTCTGAAACTGTGTTCTAATCTCCAAAGATGACTCCTGGTGAATCTTACTTCCCAGTATTTATGCCCTGTGTAGTCCCCTCCCAGGCCTGGCCTGTACCTTGATTTAACCAAAAGTGCTTAAGGCCCATTACACTTCTATGGCCCACAACGATGTTTTAACTTTTAAAAGTAGAAGGAAAAAAATGAACTTTTAGGTCAAAGAACATTAATCTACTCATCTTTACACCAATGAGATAATAAAATATAATTTTAAAGAAATTTTTATAGAGGAAGAGTCTTACAAAGGCTAAAGTGCCTAGGGCCCACAAAAGTCATCACCAGGCTCTCCTGGCAGCTTTCTCTTTTGTGCTCCTGGGAGTTCTGAGCTACTACGTAGAAAGTCCAGCCACCCTGCTAAAGGAACCACATGGAAATGCTCTGATATTATATGAGGAGGGAGAAACATCCAGCTGTCCCAGCATGCTAGGTGAGCCTCCAGGTGACTGCAGCCCCAGCCACCATCTGACTGCAATCTAATGACAGAACCCAGCAAAACCAGCAGAAGAATCATCCAGCTGAGTCCAGTCAAGCTACAAAATCATTAGAGATAATAAATTGTTGTTTTAAGCCACTAAGTTGTAAGGCAGTTTTTTATACAGCAATAGATAATAAGACTCTAGATTTGTAAGCATATACAAAGGCCATCTATAGAAGAGGCTCTGAATGGATTTTTTTTTTAATTTCAAAATAGAAAACTACTGCACATTAGTAGATGAACCCATGTTTAAATGTAGAGAAAGTCTCTTGAGTTATTAAACATATTTTTTAAAACTCACTTATGCATTTTTAAATAAGGCCAAATATAATTTTTAAATAATTTTATATAACAATACATTTAAAACAAGATTATATAATATTTAGCTTACATTATATTTTAAAAGTGAGACTTCCATAAACATTTTAAATTAGGTAAAAATACTTTTATTTGTTTCAAATCCTATTGCTACTGATTCTATTCTTTATAGTTTGAATAAACTGATGATTACTCTCTCTTTGAATGGCTTAATACAACTTTCACGGTCTTTTCTGCAAGACTTCTCGGAACCCTATTTCCATCGAATATCTTCCAAGAACTAATGTTCCAAGGACCATATTTTGGGAAATGCATGCTAATTGTCAAGTGGTCATGATGTTCTGAACTGTCCTTTTAGTGTAAAACATGCCTGAGGACTGTTCCTTCATTTGAAGATATAATTTCTGAGTGTAGAACAAAGTGCTCTTTAAAAACAAACTGCTCTTTTTTTCTCCTCATATTTACCTAATGTCTTCACTCTGAAAGAGCAGTTCTTTCCCTGGTTTTGTCTGCAGGCTGGCCTTGTTTACCAATAGTCTTCGGAAGGCAGTATGAGTGTGTACGTGTGTGTGTGCTGTGCTGTGGGGTGTGGTGTGTGTGATGATATGTGTATGGTGGTGCATGTGTGGTACACGCATATGCTCTGTGCTAGCCTACGTGTGCATCTTCAGATTGGCAGAGTATGCAAGATTTCCCTTCATACAGTTGGTCTGAAAAATGAGGTATAAAATACTCTTTATTGTACATGTATTGTTTTCCTTTTTGTTTAAAGGTAGGTATATCTTTATATCTCCCCTAATGTCATATATAGTTCTGTGTATATAATGGCATACACTCCTATACTAATGAGAGTTATGCAATTTCTAAACCCTTCTGGATTTTTCAGACTGGATATCTCTTGGAATAGCTATTTCCCTAGGATTATCACTGAGCTTAGAGTTCCTTTTTGAGACTTTTTTTTTTTTGGTGGCTGGCCGGATGTGCTTAGATTCTAACATCTTCAGATACCTCTCTATTCTTAGTATCCCAGAATGTGATGAAAAAATCTATTTGCACATTGTATATACTTATAATTTTATTATGTTCCATCATAACTTCTCTCAGTCTTTGGATTTCCACACTAAATAAAAAGTTTATATTCAAAAACAAGACTCAGTCCATCCTCTTAACATTTTTAGTTGAGATTTTTCTCAACGATTTGAAATTTTGCTAAGTCTTTTGAAAGGTTTAATGACCAGAACTGCAAAAAGTACTCAGAATTCTTTCACATAAAAATAAGATTAGTTCTTAATTTTTGCCTAATTTTGAACATAAATTATAATCCATAGGGAGAACCGGCTATTTTCAAATAGCCTGGCCCTTATTATAGAGTATTACTAAATTCTATGCATTATTATTATATGGGAACCTGCCCATGAACAAAGAAAACTATTTGCTACAGGATTTAAGAATCGATAAAGTTTTGTTTTTGTTTTTGTTTTTGTTTTTAGTTTCCTGTTGAATTTTAATGACATCTGTGGTTGCAGAATATTGCTGGGGAAAATGCTGATAATGAAAGAAAAAAAAATATGATGACCAATGGAAGGAGCGAGATTTTAGGCAAAGGAGCTGGTTATGCAGAAACTGCAACTCATCCATATGGGACAAAATATTTGCCAGTACAACAGTATGCAGAAAAGGTTATGCAGAAACTGCAACTCATCCATATGGGACAAAATATTTGCCAGTACAACAGTGGTGATGGTAGAAATACAAATGAAGGGACAAGTATAAGAGGCCTTTAATTTTACATGACAAACTTGTGATTATGTGGCATGTAATTTTACTTCAAGGCACTCACCATGATTTGTAACTATATTTACTTGTGTGTATATCTGTATAATGTCTGCTTCCCCCCTGAGAATGCAAATTCCATGAGACATAGGGGCTTATCTTTCTTGTTCACAGTTTTGTATTTAGCTCCTCAGATAGTGCTTGATACATAGTAAGCACTCAAGATAAAATTTTTAAATGAATGGCAAGAGACTCATTTACTGTGAAAAGTGAAAAAAACAATTCTGGCTCTTTGGAGAAATGGCTGGTTCCAGAACGGGATAGAGAAAGGGAAAGATAAGCACAGCACTATCTATCGTCTTGCTGTGACTGAAAAAAGGACGTGCCTAAAGACTGACAGAGACATGGCCCAACAACAAAAAGGGACTCCCTCTGGCCACATTCGGGAGTAGACTTCCTACAAAAGAGTGTAACAAATAAATATAGAAAGAATGATAGAGGAGAAAATCATCATTTTTCAACCACTAATGTAATAATTTGTTTCAGTAAGTATCATCAATGGATACCAAAATCACAGAGCAAAACATTATTGGGAAACAGAATATCACGCAGTCTCAAAGTAGCACCCCATGGATTACCTATTATTCACATAGGGAAAAAAATGAACCTTTACAATGTAGAAATCTGGCAGACACGACTTTAAACAAGGAACAAAAAACTTACAACCAATAGGAGTACAGACTGATATGTACTTCGTGTTGTGTATGCACTGAAAAAGATTCAATGATGTAGCATTCCCACCCAAAAAATTTAACCTGCATCTAATCATGAGAAAAATTTCAGACAAATTCTAAACTGCAGAACATTTTTCAAAATGGCTGACCTAGGAGTTTCAAAAATTTCAATGTAATGAAAAGCCAAAACAAACAAAAAAGGCAGAGAAATTATTCTAGGCTCAAGGAGACTAAAGAAACACGACAACTAAATGAATTGAGGGGGGAGAAACAGGCATAATGAATATTATTAAGATAATTGGAGAGATCTGAATATTTATCGTATATTAAGGTTATAATATTTTAGTTTAGTGTGAGAAGGCAAGCCAAGCCTGGATGCTGATAACAAATGATTCTAAAGCAAAGATGAGTTCATCTTGAGCCATCTTGAGTTTGAGAGGAAAACCAGGTAGGAATGCTCAATAGACCCATTTATTCCACCGACATTCTTTCACTGTGGGCTAAGTACTATCCTCAGCCCTGGGTCCACAGTGATAAAAGCAAAACAAAGCAAACAGCACCAGAAACAACAAAATCAGAGGAGGTCACTGTCCTCATGAATTTTCATGCTGATGGGGCAAACAGACAGCAAGCAAGTAAACTGATAAATGAACAAGCTTATCAGTGATAAAAGCAAAACAAAGCAAACAGCACCAGAAACAACAAAATCAGAGGAGGTCACTGTCCTCATGGATTTTCATGCTGATGGGGCAAACAGACAGCAAGCAAGTAAACTGATAAATGAACAAGCTTATAAGATATTACAGATTGTTAAAAAAAAAAGTAGCATGTGACAAAAAATAAAAAGTGACATACAAAATTGGACCTTGAGTGAGGGGGCCAAGGTGAAGAGAGATGTGTTTATAGGTAATTATTTTAAATTAGATTTTTTTTAACTATGGAATTCAAAAACTTTAAAAAGTTTCATCATTTGAAGACTTTATATATATTTCGTTAATTACCTAATTTTCAAAAATTTGCTACCTAGCAATGTTTCTTTCTCTTAGAAATGCACATTTGTAGGCATTGGCTCTATTCAACACTATGGAATTATGACCTGAATAAAATTGTAAGGGACCACATTAATTTTACATGACAAACTTATAATTACATGGCATGTAATTTTCCTTCAAGGCACTTCCCACAATTTGTAATAATATATTATTTCTTAGCCTCTCCAGGCCTGAGTGTCCTTCTCGGTAAAATGAGCATGTTGAACTGAGAGATCCCTTCTGGTTCAAAGAGACTGTATCTAATGAGACTATGTGCAGAGTAAATTATATCAAGATAGCAATTTCTCTTATGAGAAGCATCTGCTTCCCCTCTTACCTGGTGACAATCTGAAATATGATTGTGAGAGTCAGACCAGTAACCGACAGTACACACCCAGTCTTGGAGAATACATCTAGTGATTCAGGATATTGATAGTCCTTTTTGAAAGTCTGAAAAACAAGACTCATAATTTTAAATAACCATTCCTGAAATGTCAAAGTCAACATCATGAAGAGTTAACATTGGTCGAAATAACCAAAAAGTTGGATATATCTGGATATGTCTTCTTTTCATAAAGCTTTTGATATATTTAAAAGATGAAATAAATTAATCCCTTATCTTTAAGCAGTTTAAGTGAAGTAGAGGCTTGAGAACAATTATCTAACTAATTCAGTTAGGGAAAATATATATATACTTTTCCTCATCTAAAATCAGAAGTTTTTGGATTAATCCTAAACTGGCTAGAATTGCTTCATTTATCCTTGCATTATTTTTATGTGCAACTATAATCCAAGCATATCTAAGATAATGCACTAAAAATAAAGTTGCACAAGTATTTTCATGGACATGGAAAGATGTTCACATGATCATGCTAATCTTTTTAAAAGGAGTTCTCATTTTGTGTAATATTTCTATCCTAGAACGTTAGTATATATGCATAGAAAAGTATATTCCATGTACAGTTTGAAGTATTTTCATGGACATGGAAAGATGTTCACATGATCATGCTAATCTTTTTAAAAGGAGTTCTCATTTTGTTTAATATTTCTATCCTAGAACGTTAGTATATATGCATAGAAAAGTATATTCCATGTACAGTTTTAGAAATCTGGAGAGTAGTAGTGGTGGTTACTGGGTGGGTACGATATATATAATTCTTTTTGCTTATCTGTACTTTCTGATTCATTAAATTGTCACAATTAGAGAAGCAATGTATGCTTATTTGTAAAACATGAAAGTAATATAGAGCATAATAAAAGGCACATATTCCTCTACACTGCCAGCTATCCCACACCATACTCTACCTCTTAATATCCTATTTTTTTCCGAAGTGACCCTTTTTTATGTGCTTACAAATACTATTTCTATGTCTCTGACACAAATACTTGTATGACATAACAGGATTATGCTTAAATTGCCATTTTAATATATCATAAATATTTTCCCATATCAGTATATTTCTGTTTAGTAATTGAATTTTCATACTTCATTTAAAGTGAAGTATGATGTATTGCTTTTTTAGGAAGAAAATAAAAATAAAATAAACTTCATTTCAAAAAATAACAAAACAAAAAATTTATGCTATTTTTCATGTGCGGTACGCTGACTAAAGAGATACACAAAGAATCGTAGACTGCAGAGACCTTCAGATCTTAGAAATTATCTGTTCACTCAGAGCCTATCTGTTCTTACTTTACATGCAATTCCAATCAGCCATTTTTTTGAATTTCACAGCCCAAAACTAATTACAAATGTGGGTAGGTAGGCATTGAGGCAGACTCAGATATTAGTGAGAAGAAATAGCTGAAAGACTGACCTCTAAAAAGTAGAACAATAACTCTGAAAAAGTAGTCTATATCATTTAATATGTATAGCAACCTGCTTGATTTTAAGATATCAAAATCACTTAAAATTTTATCTTTAGTATCTTCTGATTGAGAAAGCAGATCTAACACAAATTAGAAAAGAAATCATCAAAATCAATTAAAATAAGAGGTATGATAACTAAAATGAGAAAACTAGTTATCTCAAAAAAATTTTTAAAGCAGAGTTCTTTGATAGTCAGTGGTGTACCAGTGTGTCCTACTTATCTCCACTGTCTTCCCAAATACAGCTACATCATCCCTACTGGGGAATGAAAACATTTGCTTCTTTTTGTGAGAGTCATAGCATTAATAGCCCCTCAATAAGGGGAAGACATTTGACATATCTCTCTATTCCACTGCATTTAAAAACTTTCCGTCAAGTATATAAACTAACATGCTTGGTTTCACCAGAGTAACAGGTTTCTGGAAATGAAACATTCAGAAGCTGCTCTTCTTGAAAGAGTCAGCCCAAGAACTTTTGGAGATGCATATACAACTACATGCCAGAGCTAAGTGCTAGCAGTTACTGGCACGGTGTTGCTTTGGAGTTGAAAGAATGAAGAAATACACAGAGGAACTATGACACAAATTGTATGAATTCAAGAGCTTTTCCTTTTACATCTTCTAGCAAAAACTTAGTCCCTTGAATAATTCCAATGGAAAAAGCTTTGGGTAACTGATTTAAACTGTTCATGTATAGCTAAGTATGTACTGAACCAGTCGCGATCACGCAGCTGTACAACCTTATATCTAGCTGTAATAACTTCACACTTCGGACCATGTGAGTTAGCTGAACAAAGGCTGTCAGCTCCTCTTTCACACATGGGCTCCCTTCCCATTATAAAATACACAGTGCTGAACTCATGTCTCTTAAGACCATATTGTAAAAACTCTATCCCACTTGCCTTTACCAGTACTTCCATTTTTAGTCCTATTACTCCATTCCCTGTTTTTCTATTTAACCCGAGTTGAGCATCCGTGTAAACTAAACCCCAAAGTTATCTTCAATTAGCACATACTAGAGGTGTGTATGAGGAAAATTCTTGTCTTTAAAGAGATTACTGTGTATATCCTTACCATCAACACAGCGAAATTAGTAGTGTGGTTGCAGCGGCAGTACAGGAACCCATCAGTGCCCCTGTCCTTGTGACAGCCATGTGTGTCCCAATCTTTTGTTAAAAAATTCCAATAGACACAAGCATAGGAATGGAGTTGGAATTCTCTTTGGTTGTACTGTGAATTGATAAGACAATTACAATTAATGATTTTTTAAATGTTTAATTGGGTAGAAAAGATCAAATAGGATAAGATAGTCATATGTGAAATCAATTAAATATAAGCTAAGCATCAGAATCTTAATTATAGATTAGGGAGGGGAAAAATTCAAAAAAATTTTAGAAACAGAAAAAAGCAAAAAAAAAAAGTAGAATAAATATATATAAAATAATATAAAATTCAAATTAGTTAACACTGCATTTAGCTAGTTTGACAAAAGATATGGACAGGAAGAAGGTTTAAATGAATGCTTCAGAGAATCTTTCAAAGAATTTTTCTGTAGATTTCTTTTACCCACACTATCCCTGCTTGTGTAATCAAGAGTGGGCTGATTTTTTATTTCTGTTAATGGGAAAACTCACCTTTGGCCTAAAGACCATTTCAACAGACACACTCTCATCTTGCTCATTTTCATCAATTTTGCTTGAGACAACTTTCTGACTAAAATTTGAGCTAGCTGTAAAAGTTTTTGATTGGAAAAGCTTGTTGTTTTGAAACACTATAAAGCCATATGCCGTGCTGTTACCTGTGATGGGGGAAAAAGACATTAAAAATGAACCCTAGGGTAAACAAGACTCAAAGTCCCATGTCATCGTTGAACTGCAAGCCTGCTTAATATTGGAACAGAGTACAATAAGCATGGTTTGCTGGCTGAACCTTTACCTAATTGCAGTATGCAATTGATATATATAACCCATGGTTGGCCATTCCATCCACATTAATTTTTTCCCTGAGGTTGAGTTTGCTTACCTTCTATATGGGAAAATAATTCTGCCCAATCCGCTTCAGGGAGGTATTGGGAGGATCTCACATAAAAGTAAGCATTTTGCTTTCTATGCAGTGAGATGGAATGAACACATCGTGTAGGTAACCCCAGCCCCTGTTGCTTCCCCCACTAATAAGACATTGGACAAGAAATAGCAAAGGGTGTGATAGAGTTTGGATGTGTTGTCCCCACAAAAACTCATGTGGAAATTTGATCTCCAATGTGGCAGTGTTGGAAACTGATTGGGTCATGGGGGCAGATCCCTTGTGAATGGATCAATGCTCTCCCTATGTGGGGGGATTAATGAGTGAGTTCTTGCTCTATTAGTTTCCACAAAAGCTGGTTGTTTAAAAGACCCTGGCACCTTCTCTCTCTCTCTTGCTTCCTCTCTCGCCATGTGATCTGCTTGTACCCACCAGCCGCCCGCCACTTTCTGCCATGAGTAGAAGCAGCCTGAGGCCCATGCCAGATGCAGCTGTCCCAGAATTGTAAGCCAAATAAACCTCTGTTCTTTATAAATTACCCAGTCTCAGGTGTTTCTGTTAGAGCAACACAAAACAGACTAAAATAGGGTGAATATCAGGATGGCTGTGCCTAGAGAAGTTCCCTCTGAGGTCTGCCTCCTGGTCAAAGGGACTGAACAGGGACCAATCGTGTTACTTCACAGAGAAAAGAGCTCAAGTGACTCTTTGAATGGAGTTTTTGAGCCAGGTACTCTTCACCATCTCTTGAACTATTAGTCTCTGTTATGTCATGACGATCATGGGCTTTTCCCAAGGCTGGAAGGCTACTGTGAAACATTTCCTCTGGACATTGGTAAAAGTGGTCAGCTGTCATCAAAGATGCTGGAAGAGCAAGGCTGGAGCAAAGGGTTTAGCACCTGGCCTAGCCATGGCAGTGGCAAAACAGAACCAGCTGAGGAATGCCTCCCAATGCTTTCCACAGCTATTGGTCATACCTAAAATAGCAGAAGAAACAACACTAAGTATGCGTTTTAACTGAATTAACTCCCTGCACTCTGCTGTCTTTTACAAGTGATATAAGGAAAACAGTGACCATGTGACCAGCTTATTTAGTCATGTGATTTGAGAGGGAGGCAGGCAAGGCCCTGACAGCCCCCAAGTGTCCTCCTCTGCCTGCCATGTTGTTGTAGCCTCTTGCTGGAAAGATAGACATAGGTTTCTGCCTTTTTTTCATGACACTTTGACCTCACCAAATTGTTCCTCCTGGACACTAGATAACAAAGTTAACCCTAAAACTGCAGTAAAACTTCTTTTTATTTTTATTTTTTTGACAAAAGAATGATATATTTGATGTAAAATTCAAATCCATAGAGTATATAGATTTTTTTTTTTAAATGAGAGACCCTGCTCAACCCTCACTTCAATCCTACAATATTTTGGTCATTTATTTTAAAAATCATCATTTTCAAAGATATTCAGATTCATTAGAAGAAATTACATTTAGGGCCGGCCCGGTGGCACACTGCTACAGTGCGCCGCTTGGGAGCGCGGTGGCGCTCCCGCCGAGGGTTCGGATCCCACATACAGACCGGCCGCTCACTGGCTGAGCGAGGTGCGGACGCAACACCGAGGGTTGCGATCCGTTGCCGGTCACGAAAAAAGACCAAAAGGAAAAAAAAAAAAAGAAGAAGAAATTACATTTATTATTATCTCGTAATTTTTTTTAATCTCCATATTTCTAGATATATCCACTTGATGTTTCCTTACTTATATTCTCTCCCTCCCTCTCTTTTGCTCTTTTCTTCCTTGATCAAATTTGTCAATTACAATTACTGATTTTTTAAATGTTTAATTGGGTAGAAAAAATCATATAGGATTAGATATAGTCATATGTGAAATTAATTAAATATGTACTAAGCATCAGAATCTTAATTATAGATTAGGGAGCGGAAAAGAATATAAAAACAAACAAAATTACACAATCTTGTGCTTACTTATTCATTAGTCTTTTCATGGAATCAATTTTCCATTTTGTTGATCAAGTCCAGGATTTGCTAATTTCTACTTTTATTCATTCCTACCTTTAAATTTAATAATTACTTCCTTCTAGCTCTCTTCTTATTTATATATATATATTTTTATACTTCTTTGGCTAAATGCTTAGATCATTTTTTAAACAATTCGTTTTATTTTCTAATAAATGTATTAAAGGATATACATTTTCCTTTAAATGCCTTTGTCCACATCCCATAAGTTTTGGTACGTGATGCTATCATTGCTATTAATTTTCAAGTAATTTGTAACCTGCACTTTAAATTCTTGTCTAACAATGGTGTTTTAAAATTTTTAATTGGATAAAAATGTGCTGTATTTTAAGTTTTATTTTATTTTTAATTGACATATAATAATTGTAAACATTTATGGGGCTCAATTTGATGTGTTTATTTTTTTCTAATGTATTTATTTATCCTTGATGTTTTGATATATGTGTACATTCTGGAATGATCAAATCAGGCTAATTAACATATCCATCGCCTCAAATATTTATCCTTTCTTGGGCCGGCCCGGTGGCGCACTGTAGAGTGTGCCGCTTGGGAGCGCGGTGACGCTCCCGCTGAGGGTTCAGATCCCATGTGGAGACCGGTTCCCGCTCACTGGCTGAGCGTGGTGCGGGCTCAACGCTGAGGGTTGCGATCCCGTTACCGGTCAGTAAAAAAGACAAAAAGGAAAAAAATATATATATTTATCCTTTCTTTGTGGTGTGAATGTTTAAAGTCCTTTCTTTTAGCTATTTTGAAATATACAATACATTATTATTAAACATAGCCACCATGCTGTACAATAGATCACCAGAATGTATTCCTCCTTTCTAACTGAAGCTTTGAACCCCTTAACCAATGTCTCCCCTAATCCCCATCTAACCCCCTCCCCACCCCACCCTCACACCAGCCTCTGGTAACCACGATTCTACTCTCTAATGTGTTCTACATGTTTTAGATTCCACTTATAAGTGAGATCATACTTATTTGTTAAATTAATTTGTTAATTTGGGTATTTGTTAAATTTTGGCTATTTTTTTCTGGTACATTTCTAGTTTTATTGTATTGCAGTCAGGAACTATGTCCTGTAAAATTTGTATTTTACAAAATGTATGAGCTTTTCTTTTTGACCTAATAAATAGTGTTTTTTATGTACTCCATGGATATTTTAAAATAATTTTTATTATCTGTTTTCATTCTACAAACAAAAACACATTCGTGCAAATATATATAAAGGTCAAGTTTATTAGTTATATTTGTCAATATGATATCCAATTTCTGGAGTGTTTTGGTCAATTCCCTCTGTATTTCCAGTAATTGTTGCTTATACATTTCAATTATGTCTTTTTAGGGAAACAAAGAATTAAAATATAGATAGTTTGGGGGGCTAGTATTATTAACCAACATAAAAACATGTCCTTTTGAGTCCAATCTGGGTCTCTGTCTCTTAATAATGTTTATAACCCATTGACTATATGAATTATTTATATGGAATAAAAAATTCTGTCCCTACTGTTCACGAAACACCAAAATAAATTCTAGGTGCCCTGAAGACCTAGATATGAAAACAAACACTAAAAACATTCAGAATAAAACATAAGATATGGTGACTTTAGAATGGAGAAGGAGTTCTTTTTAAAAGACATAAAGTACTAATTATAGAGAAAAGATTAATACATTGGATACATTGATACATTATAAATTAAAATTTTGGTATGACAAAAGACATCCAAAACCAAAGAAAAGATAGCTACAGACTGGAGTAGAGATATTTGCAACTTACATAACCAACAAAAAATTAGTATTCAGCATCCCTAAGGAATTTCTAATGACCAATAAGAAAAAGACAAGCAACCCAATAGAAAAACGGTCAGGAAATCTGAGTATCTTATAAACATATGGAAAGATGTTCAAATCAAAGGAGAAAGAAAAAGAACAATAACATAACTGTTGAATTTCCAAGCTGCAAAAGGAAAATAACAATATCTGCTTCATAATTATCAGATAGGCAAAACTTAATAAGCTTGATAACACACATGAATAAACCTCCAGAAAAGGATGTTAAGTTTAAAAAAATAAGTTCCATACAACATGATACCATTTATGTAAATACTTAAAACATCCCCAACAATAGGATATTTTGTTTACAGATACATAAATATGCAGGAAAAGCTGAAAGATAACCATGAAAATGATACACACTAAGTTCAAAAAAAATGTAATTTCTGGGGAGGAGGGATGGGAAGGGACAAGGCAGAGAGGGCTTCAGGTGCAGCTGTAATATCTTTGTTTTTTTAAGAGGTCTGAAGCAAATATAGCAAAATTTGACAACTGTTTACCTTGCTGGTAGGTACACAGGTGATGCTTACATTATTTTCTGTACTTTTCTGTATGCGTGAAATATTTTTAAATTAAAAGAAAAATACAAAAGAACATAAAAGACTTAGATTTAGTCTCTACCCTCACAAAGCATGTGGCCAAAGCAAATGGGAACAAAATTCCACAACATGCCAGATCCACGAATAATACTTTCTTGTTTTTCAATGCTTTACAAATTTATTCTTTCTAAAACATGTACTTTATGGCATTGAATTTTTTATGTGGGGAGAGAAGAAAGGTAAACGTGTGTGTTTGATTTGCTCTTTTTTTTTTTCTTAAATTTTGAAAAATACAACCATTTCAAGAATTTCTGAAAGGCCATATGCAACATGACAGGGAGCCCGTGGTGGTGGGCACTACATAGAAGAGATATATACTAAAATGACAACTATGCTAATTACATAAATTGTTCCAACGGTAGGTCTGTAGGATGAATCTGAGCCTGTGAATGTGAATGTCATGCCACTAGCAAATATGGTCAGGCCTGTGTCGGGATACTCTTAAAATATATAAAATGGAAAATGGAACCACTTCAGCAAGATTTTTATAGGAAAATAAATTTGTGTGTATGATCTGAGCACTTCAATTCTGCTGCCCTCCAAAGGGTTTTTGGTGGGGGAAAAAAAATTATCTTTAGGGCCGGCCCGGTGGCGCATTGCTACAGTGCGGCGCTCCCGCCGAGGGTTTGGATCCCACATACAGACCGGATCCCCCTCACTGGCTGAGCGACGTGCGGGCGCAACACCGAGGGTTGCGATCCAGTTGCCGGTCCTGGTCCGGTACGGGCGCGACACTGAGGGTTGCAATCCGTTGCCGGACACGAAAAAAAAAAAAAAAGACAAAAAAAAAAATTAATCTTTATGACCTAGAATTGCAGAGTCGAGATTGCCGTAATATGTCTGAGCTCAAACATACTCATACACAACTTATTCAGTGTGAAACTAAGTAGATATTACTTTTCTTTCAGCAGATTTTAATTTGTTCATTTCACGAGTCCATTTTTTTAATGTAACAAAGTTGGAGACCTACTTTTTGTGGTATTGAGCAGAATTTGAAGTTCGGTTTGCTCATCTGGATTAAGTCCATCCACGTTTGTATTTACAGCTGTTAAAGCAGAAACTAGAGAATCACTAGCTCCTATAAGAAAGAAAAAAGTACAATTTTAAAAGTCTACATTTTCATGAATAAAATGTTATTCATGATTGGTAGCAGAAATGCTCTTTGCTATGACCAGCACACAAGACAAACAGCTCACCTTTCTGCACAGAGAAGCGAACATTTGCAGGCCCCACAGTGCCCTCTGAAGGGAAACTTACTGACTGCACTGCTACATTAGGTTCCACCACGGATTCATTGCCCAAAGACAAGGAATAAGCCTCCATTTGCTCAATAAGCCTGCGTAGAATAAAACACAACCACTTAATAACCTAGAGATTTTGTCTGAAGTGTGTGTTCTCTCCCACATTACAGTAGATCATGAGAACAGAATTCATGTAGTCACAACATTGACAATCACCTAAAAGTAATTGATTTTCTTCATCAGACTCTGGCTTTGTTTTTTACAGTTTTTCTTTTTAACGTTCAGATGGACTGTCCCCACTGAAGTGTACCTTGAACATAGATGCCAGAAAGCCAGTGTTCAAGAATGACTGCTTTCCCAGTAGAAATAGTCTTTATTATGATGTTCTTCACATAGAAGGACCCACCACTAACCAGGCATGCACATCTAGTTGTTTCCACAGTCGTGAGAATCAATTTTCATTTACTCAACTAACTCTCTCCTCTCACCCAAACCCCTTGGGGTCCAAAGCATCTCTTGTAAGTTTTTGGTTCCTGAGATGACAGTTCAGATGCAATGACAGAAGAGAGAACTCTGTGCTCACTGCCTCAGCTATAAACTAAGCACTACAGGTTTACAATGTTCTTTTCTATCTTGGCTAAGTTCAAAGACAGATTAGATAGAAGGTGGGAGGGAGTGGGGGAATCTGTCAATTTGGTGTTCTCCAAAGATGCATCGTAAGACCTCTTCTTATTATTATTTCCTACAGAAATATTTGCACTGTTTCTATACTTGACAAAAGCTCTACATCTAAGATAATCAGACTAGTTTTCCCAGAAATGAAAGGATTTCATCAAAATGTAGTTGTTCTGTACTCCAAATCTTTATTTATGCCACTAAAATATCTTTATTCTTCTCCCAAGATTTAAAAAAGAGAAAGTTCAAAATAATTAAAGATTGCTTTATAAAGAGAATGTAATCATTATTCATACAAGTTGGCTTCTGTGTTTCAAATGTTTTTCTTTCATGACACCATTTTCTGAGTTGTCAGCAATTCACACTAGGTATTTATCACTTCATGAATAATAATCATACCCCAGACTGCTTTCAACAGGAGGCATACCTGATAAAACTCCAATCTGCTAAGAATATCATTTGACCAAACAATATCTGTTAGTACCTACTAAGAGGGGAGACCTTTGTGAAACACTGGGGATACCAGGAAGAGCTCCCTCAGGCATTTACAAGCTAAAGGAAAATGCGCTAGGTATGGGAGTGTCTTCCACGTTCACAATCGCTTTTAAAGGGTTGCTCTACCCACAGCTACTTCTATGGTCATTGTTTCTTCCATATGATTTGTAATAGTCTGTTTTGAATACGTCTCAGAATACCTGAGACTGGGTAATAGAGCAGGGATTTATTTGGCTTATGATTCTGGGACAGCTAAATCTGGCATGGGCCTCAGGCTGCTTCTACTCTTGGCGGAAAGCTGCAGGCAGCCACGGGTATAAACAAATCACATGGCGAAAGGAAGCAAGAGAGAGAGAGAGCGGGGAGGTGCCAGGGTCTTTTAAACAACCAACTCTATTGGGAACTAATAGAGCAAGAACTCACTCAGACCCCCCTCGCCCAGGAACAGAATTAATCCATCCATGAGGGATCTGCCCCCATGAGTCAAACTTGTCTCCCAGCACTGCCACATTGGGGATCAGATTTCCACATGAGTTTTTGCGGGCACAACGCATCCAAACTCTATCATGATTCTTCCCTCCTCTTGCCATAACTGATTACAGATGGGTGCCTGCCACAGAGTAGCCAATCCAGAGGCTGGCCATTAACCTAATACAAATGACTCAAAGAAGTCCTCACACTCTTTCGCTCAGGAATTTTCCATTTAGTGCATTAGTTACATCAGGAAAGTCATGACTTAGACGGAACCAGAGAGGTCATTATATAATTGTAAGTACAAATACAAATGAAAAATAAGAAGCTAATTCTTCTTGTTGAAAATAAAGAAAGACCCATAAACTCCTCTACTGAGGCCTGCAAAGCCGCCTTGGATCTGCAGCCATCTCCCTGCTCCAGGGTCCACAGGGTGTGGCTATATTGTGATCCCATGCTTGGGTTCCCATGAGATCTCATAAGCCTCTTTACAATAAATCTCTGTTTGATCAAGATAACATCAGTGGGGGCCTTGTAACCAAAGAAGGCTAGCTACAAGCAGAAAAACTGAAATGTAAATGTACAAGGTGGTCAGTGTTAGGGAGACAGTTTTCCATTCCCAAAGTTAGGTAAAAAGGTTAATTAGGACCTTAAATAGTACAGCAAGTTTCCAGGGTTATAGATCAGCCTTTGCAACCATGTTCAAAAAGGAGAAATGAAGTCCTAGACTCATTGATTGTACTATGATGCTCCCACCAGCAGAAACCCTGTCCTCAGGTCCAGACTTCTGTTCACTTTAACCTTCTGCCTCCTCCCAATCTAGAAATAGAGACTGGGCACTAGAGAACTTTACCATAACAACTGGAGATGGCTGAAGCTAAGGTGGAGTCGCTCCTCCTGTCATTCTCCCTTTTACTCTCACACTCTCCCTTCTCCCCATAAATGTGGGAGGGGAATTCAGTAGCTGCGGGACACAAAGAAGAAACTGAATGAAAGAAGGGAGAAGTCAAAATGAGATGGACAACTAAGGCGTGGTGCCTGTCAGGAGACCCTGCACCTAGGTGTAGGCTCAGGGGGTGGAATTTGCAAAGCAAGGGTTGCCCTGAGAAAAACTATTTTCCTTCCCTGTGGAGAGGGGAAAGTGAGAGGTAAGAGGTGGCCTCTGCTGGCAGCTCATCTAGAGTTTCTGAAGAGAGCTAAGGGGTTAGTGACCTGACCCGGGAGCTAGAGGAAGAGGTGAAATCTTTCCCTTAAAAAGGCCCCGAGTCCACAAGAGCTTATGCAAAAGATCACATGGTAGAGGGTGAACTTGGAGACCATGATTAGGAAATAAATGGACTAGAAGTTCAGAGGGCGAGGGAGGAAGGATGAGTGTGCTTATACCATTTCATAGTTCGATGTGTTCTATATTTAAAATTCTTATTTATCCTCTAACTGCTTTCTTTGAAGCCATTTGGATATCAGACATAAATCACATGTCATTGTTTTTTCCTCTATATCTTAAGCCAGTAAAATTCATGATTCTTTACTGTTAGCACAGCATTCCCCTCTGCATCTTGACCTGTGACATTCTCAGCTGAATCTCACAACTTCTCTTTCCTCAACTTTCTCACCAAAAACATCCACTGCTCTTCTTTTCCTCTCTTGCAGACACAAAGCTCTCAGCTCTGAAGGGAGCCCACTCTGGCTCTTGACTTCCATGTTCACTGAACATAGACTCTGGACCCATGGCCACTTCCTTCTCCCACTTCAAGAAAAAGGAGAGGTATCCACACCCCTGGTGAGAAGGACCTAGACTCCTACTGAGATCTGAACTCACAAAACACACCAGTAAAACTGTTTGCACAACCTCTACCACCATCTCCAAGAAATATAATCTTTTAAATGGCCTACTTCGTGCCTTGTGCTTTTTCTACTTTGAGGACTCAACACTAAATAGGTACTGCTTGTAACCATCAGAAAACCGAGAACTATATCTAAGAATTTCTCCTAAGGAAATAATGAGTCATGCAAAGTGTATTAGTCCATTTCTGATGCTTATTACAAAATACTTGGAACTGGGTGATTTATAAGAAAAAATATATTGCTTACAGTTTTGAAGGCTGAGAAGTCCATAGTGCAGAGAACACATCCGGTGAGGGTCTTGGTGGTGGCAACTGTGACCCAGGGGTTGAAAATGGCAGAGCAGAGGGAGACTAACCTCTCATGTGCTCTTGTTTAAAGCCCTCAGAACTACATCCCTGATGACCATTACTAATCCATTCACTATGGCATGGTCCTACAATCTAATCACCTCTTCAAGGCCCTACCTTTCAATTACCATAATAGGGTTTCCCATCATCAACAGTTAAAGTGGGAATTAAGCTTCTAATATGTCAACCTTGGGGGACACAATTCAATCAATCCACAACACAAACAAAGATTATGTAAGAATGTTGATTGCTGGGCCAGCCCGGTGGCGCACTGGATAGTGCACCGCTTGGGAAGCGCGGCGGCGCTCCCGCCCGAGGGTTCGGATCCCACAT